AAATAAAACAGTTAGAGTCGTTTTTTAATTATTTATAGTTAAACATGTGAGTGAAGAACTGGTTCCAGCTGGGCTCTCAGGATCTCAAAGGATCAGGAGTCTTATCAGTGGGACCACCTGTACCTGCAGCTCCAGGTGTGTGCTAACACAGGTGACCTGTTGACACTGAGAAGGGTCAAAGGTCGTGATGACCAGATGTTCAGTTTTCTCAGGACTTCAGAAGCTCAGTGGCGCCCCCTGCTGATCGACAACTGTGATTGTTCCAGATACCGTTTATAAAATGTTCTTAGATTTCATTTGGACCTGTAGCTAAGTCCTCTTCAGTCCAGTCATGTTGGTACTGCACAAACATTGATAAGATGTGGAACAAAAGAATAATGAATTCACACATTACATTATAGATTACATTCAATTAAGAGTAGTGGTTAAAAATGTTTATTTTAAGCATTCAGGTGATGCACTATTGTTTGCCCTGCTCTTTGTCACTTTATAACAGCAGAAGTTTCTTTCTTTAGTATCACAGGTTTTATTTCCTCATGTAAGTCTCTAAACATYGTTTCCAGATGAAAAACCTCCTCAGGACCACGGTGATCAAGTTTCAACTGGTTATCTAAAAAAAATGTACATGTACAAAATCCAAACGTAAATAAAAGAACCTAACTTTAGAGACACAGAAGATAAAGTATAGTTCCGTCCCTTTTCCTATCTTTAACTAACACTTCTGAATACTTAAATCCTGTCTAACATCACAAGTCAACAAATAAACAAATACAAACTACAAAGTTCAGTGAAATAAAAGGTTAATTCTGAATCACAACAAAGCTTTTTCACTTGACGGTTGTTTTCAGGATGATAGTCATTCAGGACTTGGACAGACCAGGGACTAGGTTTTCAGTCTGGGTATCAGGGACTAGGTTTTCTTCAGTCTGGGTATCAGGGACTGGGTTTTCTTCAGTCTGGGTATCAGGGACTGGGTTATCTTCAGTCTGGTGGCTCTTCATGTGTGTCTTCAGACAGTGGCTCTGGGTGAAGGCTTTGTCACAGAGGGTGCACTTGTAGGGTTTCTCTCCATTGTGGGTCCTCATGTGGACTTTCAGGTAGTACCGTTGAGAAAATGCTTTCCCACAGACCCCACAGACAAAGTTTTTGACTCCTGAGTGGAGGAACATGTGACGGCTCAGCTTGTTCTTGATTTTGAAGWGTTGTCCACATACAGTGCACTCGTACGACGCCTTGCTGCTGTGGATCGTCAGGTGTTTTGTCAGATCTCCGTTCAAAATGAAGCTTTTACCGCACACGTCACAGACAAACGGTTTCTCTCCGCTGTGGGTCTTCAGGTGCAATAACAGATTTGGTTCTGATGGGAAGGTCTTCGAGCAGACGTGGCAGAGGAACGGTCGATCTCTGACWGTGTGGGTCTTCATGTGAGAAGTCAAAATTCCTTCAACTTTAAACCGTTTCCCACAGACTTTACAGACATGGCGTCGTTCCTCAAAGTGGATGTGCCGATGTCGGGCCAGGGCTCGACGATTGTCAAAGGATTTCCCACAGATGTCACAGACGTATTTCTTCTCCTTGGCGTGGATCTTCATGTGAGTTTTAAGATGTAACTCCAAACCAAACGTTTTCAAACAAACGTCACATTTATGAGGTTTGTTTTCCTCGTGAACCCATCGGTGATCATCCAGATAGGACTTCAGAGTGAAGGTTTTGTTACAAATGTTACATTTAAACTGACCTGTGTGTTTCATCGTGTGTGTCTTCAGACTAATTTTAGAGACAAAAGTCTTCCCACAGTGTGAACATATGTGAACCTTTTGGTGACTTTTGAGATGTTCCTTTAACTTTTCCTCAGATTCAGATTTCTCTCCACAGATGCCACAAACATCCTGCTTCTCGTCCACGTGAGTCCAAACATGTCTGATCAAAGCCCCCAGCTTAAAGTACCAGGTTCCACACACTTTACAAGACTCTGTCTTCTCTGTCCTCTTTGTAGACTTCTCTTTTCTTGTTTTTTTAGGTGTCTGATGTTCAAAGTTTGGATCAAACTCTTCTGTGTCATTGCAGTCCATGTTGTTCTCTGCTTCCTGTACGTCTGTTTCCAGGTCCTGTTCTTTTGACGTTGAGCCATTCAATGGACATCTTCTTCTTCTTCTGGTTCTCTTTACACCTTCAACAGAGCTGCAAAARCAAGAGAATAAAAAAGTAWTAAAWGTTTGATGTAAAAACAGCACTTTTCAAACATTTTAGCTGAACAGTTGTCTGAAAACTGACTATGACTTAGCAGAAAATGGRCGTTGTAACGCATGTGAGTGAGGAAAAAAAAAGATTATAATTTCCTCAACTACACATGCTGTATATTTGCACTCATAAAGGTAAGGGGCACCAGATCGTTTGTACCGATCAGTGATTAATTTCTTTATTCCTCGACGGAGTCTTCCTCAGATGGGGAGTGGCCTTCTGCATCCAATTGGTCTTCCACAACTGCACTCTGAGTTCACAGTTTGTAGGCATTTAGTCCTGTGTTTGGAAATAATGTGGTTCATCGCGATGGGCATGATCAGAGGGTTGGTAGTCTCATCCTTTAGGATTATTGTGGGTTCCATATTGCGATTGGTTGACCACTTACCTTTTTGAGCTACCATGTTGAGATTAGAAGTTTATTTCAYGAACGGTTTTGTTTATTTGACCTTGGAGCTTTTGGATCGCCTGTCAGRATGCATCACAGGTGTGGGCATAAATTTTAGTCAGTAAGATTTTGTACTTGTAAATCAGACTTTGTATTTGTAAATTATGATTTGTAAGTTTTGAATATGTAAATAGGAATGTGTGTGTGTAAAATAGATTTGTATCTGTAAAAACAAGATTTGTATCAGTAAAAAATATTTACACAAGTTAGTCTGTTTACAGGTACAAAGCAAAAAACTACGTGTAAATCTCTCTGCTCAAGTTCAAAACTTACATGTGAGTTTCAGTTTACAAGTACGAATTCTGACCCTGTTTTTCTGCCTCCAGCTGATTGGTCAATGTCTTGTCAATCATAGTTTTAACGATCCAATCAGAGAAAAGATGGGTTTGGCTGTCGTGCCTGC